TTAGATCCAATTTGATTGTACACACACAAAAATAATAAATAAATTTTTAAAAAAACCAAAAAAACCCAGGACTGACATCGGGGTTGGGGAAAGACTGAGAAAGATGGGACAAATAATGTATACTGCATTGAAACAGATGAGGGAGAGGACTGTTTAAAAGGGATATGTGATTGGGTATTATTGTCATGACAGGAGTCCAGAGCGAAGGCTGCACAGAGGAGTGGACTTGGAGGGAGGGATTATATAACAGTGAAAGAATTTTTCTTTTACTTTTCAAAGAGAAGAGCAAATTGAGGGGGAGGGGTGGGCAGACAGAAAAGTACAACAATGAATGAATGGAAATCCTAAGTCTCTGTAAACTTTCATTAAAATTAATAAAAAAAATTTAAAAGGAAAAAGCCAACAAACAAGGTGAAAAAAAGTGATGGGATTGAAAATTACAACCTGGACCAAGGGCTCTCCTAGCTGGGCTTCTCAGCATCCAACTGGACTTTAAACCCTTCACACGGTGGTTAAATGTTATTTAACATTTGGATTAGATGAGAACTGATTTTAGCTCTTAATTAGTGATGAATTGTGGCAGCATCTGTACTAAATGGAAACTGAGCGTGGCACAACTGTTCTTTTCCATACGCACCAGAGCTGTATCAGGGAGCTCGGTGGCCTGGTGGGTAGGCAGACTGAACACAGCGACAGTGGCTACTCCAAGGGAGAAGGACTGCTAATCTCCCAAAACACTGTGTCGCTGTTGCTGTAGGTGCCATCAAGTGAACCTCACGCATACCAACCCTGTGAACAGATCTGCACGTGGCCCTGCCCTGAGCCGTCCTCATCAGACCGGAGCCCACTGTTCCCGTGGCTGTGTCACGGCCTCTTGGTGAAGATCTGCCTCTTTACGCTGACCCTGTACCTCTGGAAGCATGACGTCTGTTTCCAAGGCCTGGACCCTCCTTCACAGAATGCCCAAAGGATGTGAGATGAAGTTTCATCATCCTTGCCTCTGTTTGCATTTCCGCGGTTCATGGGATATCCAGTACTCTTCTCCAACACCGCAGCTCACAGGCACTGATTCTGCTCTTGTCATTTTTATTCTCTGTCCAACTTTTAGAAGCATAGCAAGTAGTTGAAATAGATCATGGATTGAATCAGGTGCACCTTAATCTGTAAACTGACGTCACTGAGAGGTGCTGATTGTGGATCCAAGGGAGAAGAAATCACTGACAATAGCAACCTTCTATTCATCTATCATGATGTTGCCTACTGGCCCAGCGGTGAGGACTTTCGTTTTCTTGATCATAAGATGCAATCCATATCGAAGGCTGGAGACTCTGATGTACAACAAGCTCTCCAGGACTTTTTTCACTTTCAGCAAGCAAGGATGTGTTATCTGCATAATGCTTTCATAAGCCTGTCATTGATCCTGATGTCACATTCTTCTTCATAAAGTCCAGCTTCCATAGTAACTTGTTCAGCATAAAGCTTGACTATAAAGGCTACACCCTTGATTCATGCCTTTCTTGCTTTTAGACCATGGGTGTTGTTTTTTTCCCCCTTGTTCTGTTTCGAAATCTGCCTCTTGGTCTAGGTCTGGGTTTTGTCTGGGATTCCCCTTTTCTCAAGGGTAGCCATAATTTGTTGTGACCCACACGGTCAAAGGCCTTTAAATAGTCAATAAAACAGATCCTTCTTCAACCACCCAATGGATAGAGAAGCTGTGGTATAATCACACAATGGAATACTATGCTGCATTGAAAAACAAGGAACTCATGCAATAGTATTCAAAATGGGTGACCCTGGAGGACTTTATGCTGAGTGAAATATCTCAGTATCTCAGTCACAACAGGACAAATACTGCATGGTGCCACTGTTGTAGAATGGGACTGACATCAGGGTTGGGTTAAGACTGAGAAAAACTGGATAAATTATTTATACTGCATTGAAACAGATGAGGGAGAGAATAATTTAAAAGCAATATATGATAGGGTATTATGGTTATCACAAGAGTCCAGAATTAAGGTTACATAGTGGAGTGTACTCGGGGCAGTGGGAGGGGTGCAGGGGGACTATATACCAAAGAAAGAATTTTTCTTTTACTTTTCAAATAGAGGAGTGAACTGGGGGGTAGGGGGGGAAGGGCTGGGCAGGGAGTAAAGTGCAACAATGAATGAATGGAAATCCAAAATCTCTGTAAATGTTCATTGAAGTTAATAAAATAAAATTTAAAAAGAACAAAAACAAACCAGATCCTTCTGATATTCCCTGTTTTCAGCCAAGATACTTGTGGCATCAGGAATGAAATCCATTGAGCCACAGCCTCTTCTAATCTAGCCTGAATTTCCGGCAGTTCTCTGTCGATGTACCAGTCTGGCTGTTTCTGTATGATCCCCAATATTTTGTGTGCACGTGATACCAGTGATATTACTCAGTAACTTCCATATTCTGTTGGATCACCTTTTTTGGAAATGGGAACAAATACAGATCTTTTCTAGTCAATCATCCTGATAGCTGTCTTCCAAATTTCTAAGCACAGACTGCAGGGAGGTATCTGCCCAGTGATGTATCTGTTAAAACATGTCAACTGGTATCCCATCAATTCATGGGGCCTTTTTTTCCCCCAATGCCTTCAGTGTAGCTTGAACTTGTTCCTTCATTACCACTAGTTCTTGACCATACACTACCTCCTGACATGGTTCTGCATTCCCACCATCTGAAGACCTGATGGAGGGTCAGCTACGGGTTGGTTTTGACTTGAGGGCACATAACAACAGAGATTTCTAAGAAGCAATAGGTATTGGGACTGCAGAGTCCTTTCCTGCCTCTCCCTGAATGGCTACTGACATGATCCGATCACAGGAAGCAGTAGCCGTGGCCGTTTCTCTCTGTCAAGGATGTGAAACTGCTCTGCCTCCTTTCCCAGGAATAGTTCTCTGAGACCCCAGCCCACTTCCCTAGCTTGTAAAACACATCTGTGGGCATCCCCTTCCCCAAGTTCCTTGTAATACAATATAAAACCCCCCTTTTTAAAATTTTTTGAACCTTTCTTTTTTTTATTTTATTTTTTTCTTTTTATTGTATTATTTTTTATGTGTACTGTCAAATCAGATCTGACTGGTACAGGAGGAGATTGCCCCTTACTTCTCTAGCAGAGCAGCTGGTGGATTTGAACCGTAAAACCCCTTTTTAAGGGAGCTCTGGTGGCCTAGTGGCAAGAAGCTGCACTGCAATTCCAGAGGTATGCAGTTCGAATCCACCAGATGCTCTGCTGGAGAAGAAGGGGCAATCTCTGCCTGTACCAGTCAGATCTGACTTGATGGTACACACACAAAAGATAATAAAAGAAAAGAAAAAATTTTTAAAAACCCAACCTTTTCTAGCTTTTAATGGAGGCTGGTTTTCTGCTTAAGAGCCAGCCTGGCAGTTTCTCCTCAATAAACTGTCGTCTTGGCCTGAACTAGGTTCTGTCCTTCCATGGTGACCTTGTTGTTGTTTGTTGTTTGATGCCGTTGAGTCGTAGACGACTCATAGCAACCCTATGAACAAATAACCTGAGCACGGTTCGTACATAGAGTTTCCGGAGGCAAGCCATTTTGGAATTGGATGCCACTCCTGCTTCCAGGCTTGATTTAGTCGGGAAGCTCCAGCCAACACTGTCCACCATGGGTACCCATTACCACGATTGGCACATCACTGTCACAGGCTTCAGCATCACAGCAACCACGAGTTACCTCTGTACAGCAACGCACAGACCAGTGCTGTACCACCTAGAAGAATGTTTGACAGGAAGACAATTTGAACCTAGCCGAGGGCCGCAGATGGCAATCACTCACCTTCAGGCTCGTGGGAAGCTCCACTGCAGCCCCTTTGGTTAGCAGCCTAGGGCTTCAGGTGCAATTAAGACTTAACAGGGCTCCTTCGCTTTGTTAACTACACGTCAGAATCAAGGTGAAAAGCTCTGCTTACCTTTGCTGGGTGACCCAGTGTATAACCAGATCGAATCGTCTTTCAGATAATGCGCACTTGATGCCTTCCAGGGTTAGCGCTGCATCAACAGGGCGTTTAAAAGCCTGGCTCGTGCCAAAGAGTGCCTCAAAAAATAACAGTAACGGGAGAGGTTTTCCTCTAATTTTTCCAATAGCTACAAAGCAAGAAGAGTCTATGAGTCAAACATTTTAAGTAACACCATTTGCTCTTTCTCACATCTTTGCTATTGTTGTGTACCATGGAGTCAGAACTGACCCACAGCTGACCCTCTGCGGGTTTTCAGAGGCAATGAATCGCACGGAAGGAGACTGCCCATCCTTCTCCCGTGGAACAGCTGGTGGCCTCGAACCATGTGCCTTCAGAATTGCAGAGCAGCTTCTTGCCACTAGGCCACCAAAGCTCCTTTTCATCTCTTTATATTTCCTAAAACATTTACTAACCTAAAAATATCGATTCGTTTGTCACTTTCAACTATTTCTTATGGATTATTTTAAATAACTATTAAAGGTCACCTGTGAAGACGGAGGCCAAGTTTAGAGTGATGTGTGTCTAAGCTACGGAATGAATAAAGAGGAGGAAAGAACTGATGCGTTCAGGTTGCTGAAGAATACTGAATGTACCAGGGCCATCCAGGAGAACAAACCAGCCTGCCCTGGAGAGGTGCTACCACAATCCTCAACAGGAGTGACGATGGTAAGATTTCTAATGTACTTTGGGTCTGTTATGAGGAAGGACCAGTGTGTGGAGAAAGACTTCATTCTTCATAAAGTGGAAGGTCAATGAAAGAGTCAGGCCTTCAAGAGATGGACTGACCCAGAGGTTTAGCACGAGTCAACCCACCCACAGCTCGGGGCCAGGCAGTATTTCATTCTGATGTATAAAAGGAGGATTCTGTCATGGACTGAATTGGGTCCCCTGAAAATACATGTATGTTGTTGTGTGTACCATTGAGTTGGAACTGGCCCATAGCTGACCCTCGACCGGGTTTTCAGAGGCATTGAATCGCATGGGAGGAGACTGCCCATCCTTCAATGAGCAACTTGTGGATTTGAACCGCAAGCTTTTGGGATTGCAGAATACCTTCTTACCACTAGGCCACCAGTGGAATGACACAATGCAGAAGCTACACAATGATCCTCCATGTTCTGATAGACCAAACAGTTGTAAAAGGGTGAAATCCAATACCCTTTAATCCCCTCACCACCCTAATCAAATCACAGATCCTACAGGAATTTCCCTGGAATGTGGGATAGAAGGCAAAGGAGAGGAAAGTTGTTTCCTCCAAAGACCTGTCTGTGGTTTCCTGTCCTCAGACACTAAGAATTCAAGGCACAGAAAAGCAGACTTAGAGAACTCTAGGGCCAGCTTGCTCCGCACAGGCTCAAGCTAATCCATCCCACATTGGGGAAGAAAACTAAAAGGGAAAGCAAGCCGAGAGTGGGGGACCAATATTACCAAGAAAAAATTATCAGGAGTGGAGTGTTTGTTTGGAGACCAGGCCCGTTTGAGGAAGCATCCTGCTATCATGAAGAACAGGACCCATCAGGAGCTCCAAGGAATTCATGGCCTATGGGTGCTGAAGGACACAGGGCATCATCTGTCTGTGCTGGAACCCTGAATCTGAATTCTAGCCTTCTAAACTGTATGAGAATAAATTTCTGTTTATTCCACTTGTGGTATCTGTTACAGTTGTTATGTACCATCAAGCCGACTGCAACTCACAACACCCTATGCACAATAACTCTGAACCCTGCTCTGTCCTGAGCCAGTCTCACTGTCTCTGACACAGTCACCTCCATTACCCCAGTAACTGTGTCAATCCATCTCATCCGGGGTCAACCTCTCTTGCACTGTCCCTCCACCCTTCCACGCATGATGTCTTTCTCCAAGGACTGGCCCCTCCTGGCCAAGTGCCCAAAGTAAGTGAGACAGAGCTTCAAAATCCTTGCCTCCAAGGTGCAACTCGGTTTCACCCTCTCCAGGACAAACCTGTCTGTTCTCTTGGCAGTTGAAGGGATGTTCAATACTCTTCTCCAGCACCACAACTCAAAGGCATCAATTCTTCTTCTGTCATCCTTATTCATCATCCAGTTTTCTGATGTGTATCAAGTAATTGTGAAGATCACGGCCTGGATCAGACACACCTTTGCCTCTAGACTGATAACGTTTCTCTTTAGCACTTTGGAGAAGTCCCTGGCAGCAGATTTTCCCAGTGCAATTCATCTTTTTATTTCCTGACTACTCGTGCCAAGGGTCTCGACTAGGGGACTGACTAAGCTGAAATTGTTAACAATTTTAATCTCTTCTCCATTGAGCACAGTCCTATAGCACTAGATAATTAAGACAGGTTCTGAGTTGGAATCAAATCCATGGCAACTAACAATAACAAAGAAATATGTGGCTGTGGAGTCTGAATCTAAGCCATCACTTGTCTGTCAGTGTGCTGTACCATGGTGGTTTGCCTGCATATTATTGTGATAATGGAAGCTATGTCGTTGATTTTTCAAACACCCACAGGGTCATCCACACATGGGGGACAGGGTTCAGCAGAATGTCTAGACTACCTGCTTCTGAAATAAAAAGCTTTCAAAACCCCTGCTGGGTAGCAGTAGAACATTGTCTGACGTGGTGCCAGAAGATGAGACCCTCGGGTGGGAAGGCATTCCAAATATGAGGGGGAAGAGTTGCCTTCTCAAAGCTGATGTTGTTGTTAGGTGCCGTCGAGTACGACTCATGGTGACCCTAAGAACAACAGACCCGAATCCTGTCCTATCCTGTTCCAATCCCACAATCTCTGACACGCTCTAGCCCACTGCTGTGGTCACAGTGTCAATCACTCGGCTGAGGGGCTTCCTCTCCCTAGCAAAGTAGACCATACTTTAAATGACATAAATGGAGTAAAGTTTTTTCCCCAAGGAAGGTTTTTCATTTGCTGATGAGCCTTGACTTAAAATGAGGAGGAACAGCTCTTAACATCTTTTAATAAAACTGGAGCGTAGAATGCACCAAGTATGAATCTAAGAAGAGGGAAAGCTGTGCAAAAAAAGAAATGCAACCCATAAAGACCTCTATCCTAGGCATTAGGGACTGGTATTGGCCATTCTGAATCAATCATATGATATGTCAGGCCAGGAATGACGAACCAAAGAGGCTGATACTGTATTCATCCTTAAAAAGAATATTTCACCATCCATCCTGAAGAACAATGCTGTTAGTGATAGGACAACACACATATAAGTTAGACTTGTTAATGCAACTATTACACAATATGCCCCACAAGAAAGCACAAGATGAGATTCAAAGCCAGCTGGCAAACAAGAGTTTTAGATGAGGCTACAGATAAATAACAACACACAAACAGATCATAGAGAAAGGCTTACCTTTAAATGTTTCCATTATACTAGCGTTTCGCAGGATTCGTCTAGGACTGTTCGCTGCAAACAAAGCTGCCTTTTCATATTCACCAAGTCCAAGTAATTCATTGAACCTACAGCCATTGCATTTTGTAATGCATTATAAAATAACCGCACCCCAGAAAAAGAAAACTGATTAGAAATGTCTAATATATAGTAGAGTTACATAATAAGATAGAACAGTAAAAAAGCATTCCTCCTCTAACATGTAGCTTCAGTTCTTTTCAAATATTCTCAGGTTTTTATTGTTTATTTGTAGCCTCATATACAATTCTCATTTGCCAGCTGGCTTTGAATATAATCTTGTACTTTATTTCTTATTAGGACTTAAAGTAAGACATTGAGATAGAAATTAAAGAACTGAAAGGGAATTTACAGTGATCTGATTTCTTTTTCTTTCTTTTCATTTCCAAATAAGAAGGGATATCAGGAGAAAGAAGGCTCATCTTGTCGATTCAGCCTAGAAGATTCATTGGGTATGTTGTTGTTAGGTGACACTGAGTCAAGGATGACTCATAGTGACCCCATGAATAGCAGGCCTGAACCCTGTCCTATCCTGTGCCATCCTCATCATCTGAGGTTAGAGGCTGCCAAGTGGAGATTAAGAGTTGTTCTTAGGGAGCTCTAGTGGCCTACTGGCAAGAAGCTGCACTGCAATCCCACTGGCAAGAAGCTGCACTGCAATCCCAAAGGTATGTGGTTCAAATCTGCCAGTTGCTCTGCTTGGAGAAGGAGGGGCAATCTCCTGTACCAGTCAGATCCGTTCTGATGGTACACACACACAAAATAATAAATTTTTTTTTTAAAAAAGTTGTTCTTGGCACTCAGTGCTCTGTCATGCTAGGCTAGCATAAGAAGGAAAGATAAGAATTAAGATGAAACAAGAGTCCACAATGAAGGTTGCATAGTGGAATGTACTTGGGGTGGTGGGAGGGGTGCGGGGGGATTGTGTACCAGGGAGGGAGTCTTTCTTTCACTTTTGAAAGAGAGGAGCGAACTGGGGGGCGGGGGGAGAGGGCTGGGTGGGGAGAGAAGTGCAGCAATGAATGAATGGAAATCCAAATTCTCTGTAAATGTTCATTAAAATTATTTTTAAAAAATTTTAAAAAAAGAATTAAGATGAACTTCCATTCCTCTTCTCACAGCTAAAGGTCGTGAGTCCTAACCTCAGTTAATAAAACGCGACTGAAGCTGGGACTAACACAGCGGGACTGAGCATGACAGAGATGCTGAGGACGGTGCAGGGCCAGGTTCAGATCTGTGGTTCATAGAGTAACTAGGAGGTGGAGTTGACCTGATGGCACCTGACACAAACAACAAAGCAAGTGGGATTTACAGTCAAAGACACGCACACTCTAGATGAGAAAGCCAGGAAGGTACTATAAAGCAAAACGCATAAAACTTTAAGAAGATTCCTCATTGGCAGACTTAAAGAAACCTACAGTGTAAGGGAGTAACAGTCATTGGATGGGGGGAAATTTTCATTCACTTATACTGAAAGCAAATCAGCAAATCACAACTGAACGCTATTTAATATATAGGTAGACCTATAACCCAATGTTCTTTAGGTATTGTTCTCATAGCCTAGAAAGTAACTTCTTAAAGAACATAATCCTAGAGTTTCTTTTCTATAACATATAAAAAAGCTTAATCCTTAGTGTCGTTAAAATAGCACAGAATAGAAATAAAGAAAGGATAAGTATGCACACCCATGTTTATTGTGGCTTTGTTCACAACAGCAAAGTGCTGGAAACAACCCACGTACATATCAACAAACAAATGGATAGAGAAGCTCTGGAATGCTATGCAGCATTGAAAAACCAGGAACTCAAGCAATATTATGTAAACTGGATGAGCCTGGAGGACATTATGCAGAGTGAAATATCTCAGTCACAAAAGGACAAATATTGCATAGGACCACTGTTGTAAAACAGGACTGACGTCGGGGTTGAGGGAAGGCAGAGAAAGAGGGGAGGAATGACGTATACTGCACTGAAACAGATGAGAGAGAGAACTATTTAAAAGGGATATATGATTAGGTATTATTGTCATGACAAGAGTTCAGAATGAAGGCTGCACAGTGGAGTGGACTTGAGGGGAGGGATTGCATAACAATGAAAGAGTTTTTCTTTTTTTTTGAGTTTTTCTTTTTCATTTCAAGGAGAAGAGTGAACTGGGGGGGAAGGGGTGGGCAGGGAGAAAAGTGCAACAATGAATGACTGGAAACCCTAAGTCTCTGTAAACGTTCATTAGAATTAATTGAAAAAATGTAAACAACAACAAGAAAAACACCCCAAACCACCACAATATCCATGAATTAAAAAAAAAGAAGGGAAAAGTACTGAAAGTATTTAATTGACCAGAATAACCTGAAGCCAGAAGAATTATTCTCAAAAATATTTTGCAATGCACACCCATGTTTATCACAGCTTTGTTTACAATAGCAAAGAGGTGGAAGCAACCCAAGTGCCCATCAACAAATGAATGGATAGAGAAGCTGTGGTATATTCACATGATGGACTACTATGCAGCACTGAAAAACAAGGAACTCATGCAATATTATTCAAAATGGGTGACCCTGGAGGGCATTATGCTGAGTGAAATATCTCAGTCAGAAAGGGACAAATATTGCATGGTGCCACTATTGTAGAATGGGTCTGACATCAGGGTTGGGGTAAGACTGAGAAAAAACTGGAACAGATGAGGGAAAGAACAGATTAAGGGCAATATATGATTGGGTATTATGGTTAGCACAGGAATTCAGAATTAAGGTTGCATAGAGAAGTGTACTGGGGTGGGGGGAAAGGGATGGGGGAATTGTATACCAATGAAGGAATTTTTTTTTCTTTTTCTTTTCAGAAAGGGGAACGAACTGGTGGGGAGGGGTGGGCAGGGAGAAAAGTGCGGCAATGAATGAATGGAAATCCAAAATATCTGTAAATGTTTATTAAAATTAATACAAAAAATATTTTGTAACATCATGTTAAGAGTAGACAATGAAGGGAGCTCTGGTGGCCTAGTGGTAAGAAGCTGCATTGCAATCCTAGAGATACACAGTCTAAATCCACCAGATGTTCTGCTGGAGAAGGAGGGGCAATCAATCTCCTCCTGTACCAGTCAGATCTGATTTGATGGTACACACACACAAAAAATAATAATTTTTTTAAAAAAAAGAGAGTAGACAATGTATTAAAAATATAAATAAAACTTGTCTTAACAATTCAAGCCTCCTGTCTCTTCTGAAAAATATTCCCAATCTGTGTTTCCCCCTAAATCCCCACAAATTTTCCCTAAATCTGACCAAAAAATGAAATTTTATTTTCTTTTCTGATTCTTCTACTAGTGCAGATTTTAAAGATAACAAAAGTTACAAGTCCCAAAGAGACGCTCAATATTAACATTTTAACACTGGAAACCAAAGCGCTGACTTACCTCTCAATATAGCCGAGCAACATTTCGGCTTCTTTTGCTTTGCTTGGATCATCTCCAAGTAGTTCCTCAGCAAATTCTTGGTCACCTGTAAACATCCAAAATGGCATCATATTAAAGAGCAGCTATCAATTGCTCTGGTGACCTAATGTAATGGTAAGGAGTTGTGCTGCCAACCCAAAGGTACAGAGTTCAAATCCACCAGCTGCTCCACAGGAGAAGGATGGACAATCTCCTCTCTCTTTTTTTTTTAATACAACAGTTCTTTTATTTTGTTTGGTGCTGAAACCCGGGAGTGAGCCATGTTCTTTTATTATGATGATTAATTTCATTGAACATTTACAGAGATTTTGGATTTCCATTCATTCATTATTGCACTTTTCTCCCCACCCACCCTACCCTCACCCCCAGTTCGCTCTTCTTTAAAAGCAAAAGCAAAACTCCTTCCTTGGTACAGAATCCCCTCGCACCCCACCCCCCAACTCCCACCCCGAGTATACTCCACTCTGCAACCCTCATTCTGAACTCTTATGATAATCATAATGCCCTAAAATATATTACTTTTAAACTGTTCTCTCCCTCATCGGCTTCAATGCAGTATACATAATTTATCTAGTTTTTCTCAGTCTTACCCCCACCCTGATGTCAGCCTCATTCTACAGCAGTGGCACCATACAATATGACAATCTCCTCTTGTGTGAGTTACTGCCTCTGGAAATCTACTGGGGGGGTCAGTTCTGGGTTGGTCCTGACTCCACAGTACACAACAACCATCAGCTGAAATGAGACCTCTGGTGACGGAGTCTGTGGTGAATTACACTGCCGACACGAAGGCTGTGTCGCTCTGACAACCTGATGGAAAGTCACTGGGAGTTAGAACCAATGCGACGGCATACATGTGTGTGAAGAGAAAACAATCTCATCCTCACACCTGCACACATATAAATACATGTTGTTATGTACTGTAGAGTCAGAACGAGCCATGACCTTCAGTGGGTTTCCAGAGGCGAGCAGCTGGTGGCTTCGAACCACAGGCCTTCAGGATTTCAACACAGCTTCTTGCCACTAGGTCACGAAAGCTCCCCGTATAAGAATATCTGAATGTTATATAAGCAATATATGCACACCACACCAATACATTATACATAGGCCCTCTCCTCCTTTCTCTCAGGTGCACAGTCAGAAATTCTCTCCTCGGCTCGCCAAGTCGGTTCTTTACCAGACATACATCAGCTGTTAAAGAAAGAAGCTCAGGACAGAAGCATAGACATATATTTATGTTTCTTTTCAATTCAATCTGGGAGAGACTCACTCTTTCGCTTTATGGGAAAGTCTTCCATTTAAAAAAAGTGCTACTCGACTCACAGCTGGATTCTGACCTGAAGGTGCATAACAACAACAAGAATTGGAAAACACAAATACATTACCATACAACTCTCTGGTTTTCTGAATTTGCTCCACCACCTCTTGAAAGGACTTGCTCATATTTGACTGGATCCAGGAAGCAAGGGCGTAGGCAATGATCTGAATTCTTTGGTGGCTAGAAAGAGAACAAGTACAACAACAGAGAAGCCTCAAAATTAAGGGACGGAGTATCAGAAAGAAAGGGGGAAAATACAAACTCTAGAAACATGTGAATGACTTTCATACCGAAACTGTAGCTCTTTGTTCAGACATTCAGCTGCATCTCTCTGCTTTAATAACGTCATCTTTTCCTCATCCAAATCCTCCTTCCTGTGAGCCGACACGTATTTTACTGCCATGGTTTGTTTAATTTCTGCGTATTTATCCTCAAGGCGTTTTAAGTGTTTAGTGAGTGCCTCCAGATTGACGGAGTCTTCGAGCGTCATGCCTGGGGGGGAAGGGAGCAGATCAAGGTAGCTGCTGTGGGACACAAGTCCCACGGTTCAAACAGGAGTCTCATTTGAAAAGGGGAGCAAGCGTTTTAACTTCCCAAACATAGACGGGCAGAGTCTACCTTCTTAAATGACAGCCCTTTCAAACCTAGACTCACTGGCCTACTGCTAAGGAGCGCCACTACAATCCCAAAGGCACACGGTTCAAATCCACCAGCTGCTCCGAGGGAGAAAGATGGGCAATCTCCTCCCAGGAAATTAAACTGCCTCTGAAAAGCCGCTAGATCCTTTTCTGGTTCATGACCATGATGATTGGGGTGCTCATGCTTCTGTAGGACATATGTCACCCTTAAACCTTGCTACGACATGGGCACATTACCCATCTGCTGTAAAAAAAAAGAACCAAAAAACAAACCCCCTGGAGTGTCAACTATGGGTTAAATTGCTACTTGACAGTGGACAACATACTAAAAATCCTGTATCTTCAGATTAAAAAAAAAAATCCTATCACCGCCTCTTGCGCAACCAACACTCCTGGCACCAGAAGTTAGGAAATAAAAAGAAAAGTTGCACTAGGAAAATTTGCTGTTAGAGACCTCCTCAGAGAAGTAAAGAGCAACAAAGTCAGTCTAGAGACTAAGGTGCACCTGATCCAGGAAACAGTCTTTGCAATTACCTGTTATGCATCAAAGAGCTGGACAATGACCAAGGAGGACAGAAGAAGAATTGATGCCTTTGAATTATGGTGCTGGGGAAACAGTATTGAACTGGATTGCCAAGAGAACTAACAGATCTGTCCTGAAAAGGGTGAAGCCAAGCTGTTCCTTGGAGGCAAAGATTTTGAGGCTCCATCTCACATACTTTGGGCATGCTGCCATCAGGGACTTTGGAGAATGACATCATACTTGGAAGGGTGAAGGGACAGTGCGGGCAAGGAGGATCCCAAATGAGACGGATTGACACAGGAACTGGGGTAACGTGTGTCAGAGACAGGGAGACTGGCCCAGGACAAAGCATGGTTCAGAGCTATTGCACGTAGGGTCCCTACGAGTTGTGGTTGACTCACATAACAACAATGCCTTGCAAATCCCAATGCCTTGCATATCCCTAAATGTTACTGTAGCTCGATCATATCAACAACCTCTAACAATTTCTCATTTCTCTAAATTCCTTCTAGGTAGCTCTGGTAAGGAGTTGTGCTGCTATCACTAAGGCAGATGGTTCAAACCTACCAGCTGCTCTTCCTGTGTGATTTAAGCCTCTGAAAACCTACTGAGCTATGAATGGGTCAGCTATGAATGGGTACCAACCCAACAGCAATGAATGAGTGTGAAATTCCTTATGAGCAAATACGTTGCTACCACAACTAACCCCAGAGTAATGCTAGTAATTTTCTTCAACATAAAACTTAGATAAATGTTTACCAAATTTCCAATTTCCTCTTTGTCTCAATTCAAAAACACAGTTACACTTGAGACACATTGCCTTCTACCTGGGGTCAATTTTTATCCTTACCACAAACCTCAACATTTCTCCCAACACATCCCTGGATTAATCCTGCTTGATTTTAACCATTCCTCTACCCTGAAGCCTCTCAGCATTTAATCAGTTTCTCAATTATTCTGTATTTATTTCTCTGTATCTTATTTATCAGCAGCTCGACGAGTGTGGTGGTGCTAATTCGAAAGTCAAGTGTCTCCAGAGGTTCCAATCCACTAGAGACGGATAATCCCCTGTTCTGATGACTAACTGTCTCCAGAACCCTCTAGAGGGTTGCTGTGAATCAGAACAGTCAGTAGCAGTGGACTTGTGGGTTATTTTGTGGTAGTTTTTCCCCCTTTTGATAGATAGATAAGCAATCCGAGGAGTTCTTACAAGCTTAGCCTGCCTAACCACAGATATTTTAGTGTACCTGATTCTTTTCACTAAATGCAAGAAGACCATTCAATTTCTCTGGAAATTCTGAACTATGGAGTAGCCTAAGCCTTGATGGCACAGTGGTTAAAGAATCTGGCTGCTAAACAAAAGGCCAGTGGTTTGAATCCACCATTGATGCTATGGGAGGACTTAGGTGTATGCTTTTATAAAGAGGCCAGGCTTACTCTGTCCCACAGCGCTACTTCCCACTGACACACAGCAGTACAACATTGCCTATTACCTCGACATAAAGCCTCTTTTGTCAGGATCAAATCTACCTTCCTAAATTTTCCACCTACTCACATTGTCTCTGGATAAGCAAAGAAATACTCATTCTTGGGCACAATTATTAATATTTTTAATAGAATCACCTACTCTTCACACTCTCTTTTCTTCAGGATGAATGTGTACTATCCTGGAAGGACTATCTAATCTGTTCTTCACTACAAGCTACCTTGTTTACTGGTAGAAGAGTAATGAATATTCCAGGGACTGCCAAGAGAACAAACAGATGTGCCTTGGAAAATGTGCAATCTGTTCCTCGGTTGCTGTCGGGGGCGTCCAAGTCCTAGGAAAAGGACCTCATGCTTGGAAAGGTGGAGAGTCGAGAGAAAGTCTCGGAGGATCCTGGGCCAGAGGGATTGCCTGGCGACGTTCACAATGGGCTCTACTGAGATGAGGAGGAAGGTGGAGGAGAAGGCAGGGTTCAGGGACTTCGCTCACCACTCTCAACTCCATGGCACCTGACAACTGCCATGCTGGGGATTCAAATTCAACAAGAGGTTTTGGTTCCGCAAGAAGGCACTGTGTGCTTGCTTAGGAGAGACTCCAGATCTCTCAAGAGGCAGAATTCTTTGATGTGGTGGAAACAAACCTGTGAAATGTTGACTACAGGTGAGGCAAAGGGCACAGACAAGTCTGTGTTACCTTGTTTACCGGGCAATCTGACTGTGTGCAATCACTACACAAACCTCTTAACATCCTGGAGGAATTTCAGGTGTATCTTGGTTTCTGAAGTTGTTAAACCAGTGAATGCTAAGTCCAAATGAATCAACAATATTCTCCAGACAGTAATTACTACATGTTTTCTTTTTTATTATTATTATTATTGGTTCTTAACCTTCAGAGAGCATCAAAATAACCAGAAGCACTTGTGAAAACTTAGGAAATATTTTCCCCCCTCTGTACATGGCTTTTAGTATTTACACAATATAACATCAATGCTAAAGAGGAAGTAAGTATTTCTAACAAACTGCCAGGGGATGATGTTTCTGGTGAAACCACGTTTTAATGATTATGCCACTATTTACATAGCCCAGGGAGCTCTGGTGGCCTCGTGGTAAAAAGCTGTGCTGCAACCCCAAAGGTATGATGTTCGAATCCACCAGCTGCTCTGCAGGAGAAGGGTGGGAAATCTCCTCCTGTGCAATTTACTGCCTCTGGAAACCCACTGGAGGGCCAGCTGTGGGTCGCTTCTGCACACAACATTTAACTCTCTGAATCTTTTTTTTTTCATTTTTATTTTATTATTTTTGTGTAAGTGTACTGTCAAATCAGATCTGACTGGTACAGGAGGAGATTGTCCCTCCTTCCCCGGCAGAGCATCTGGTGGATTCGAACAGTGTGCCTCTGGGATTGTAGTTGCAGCTCTTTACCACTCGGCCACCAGAGCTCCCCTAACTCTCTGAATCTTTTAAGATTATTTTAAAAATCTTACGTCATTTAAGTCTTCTCACTCCTTTGTATGTGTGCAAGATAATTTCTGAAACATTTTATAGCTTTATGTATACTTTGTACATGTACATATTAACACATATGTTAATTTTGTTAATAGAATATAACGAAATGATTCTCTCTCAAACACTGTCAACAAAATACTGTACCTGGAATAGGCTTCGAAGGATCTTTGGAGAAAGTACAATATTTTACTTCTTTTCTGTCATACTCTGCTCTAAGCTCTTTCATTTTCTTTATTTGCATTTGAATTCTTGAGGAATCATTTTCAATAATAGTCATCCTGAAAAATAAGAAAGGTTTTTTTCTATTTCCTCCAACTATTTGAATTATTGAATCTTAAGATTTCAAGTAAAACATATTAAGTCATCACTTTTTTTGCTAATTATATTTTTATGGCATACCTAGAAGTTTACAAAAAAAAAAATGACTTAAGAAAGTGAACTAGTTTCACAAGAATAGTTTTCTTTCAGAGAATCACAAAAGTGTCACAGTTTCATTCTTGATCCTATTAAAAATGTATTACAGCGATTTGGTCAGTCATTATGTCTATGCTCTTTAATAAAAAATTACCTTTGCAATTTAAATTTTTTTTTTTAGTTTCTTATTGCTGCTGTAACAAATTATTGTAAATCTGGCAGCTTAAAGAAACAAAAATATTCTTTTAGATCTTATTGCTGCTGTAACAAATTATCATAAATCCGGCAGCTTAAAGAAACAGAAAAACATTCTTTTAGAAGAGTTTCTAAAAGCTCCAAGCCTAAAATCTCTTAACCACTGCTCAAACCAAGGTGTGGGACTCCAACAGCTCCTGACAATGCTGTCGCAGTCTGGGGGCTGCCAGCATCCCATCGCTCTGCACTCCAGCCTCCGCCTCTGTGGCCACATTACCTCCTCCTGTGTCCACTCTCTCATATCTGTAAATTGCATTTAGGATATTGTCACCTGTAGACCCTCAGTTTAGGGAGCTCTGGTGGCCTAGTGCTAAAAAGCTGTGCTGCAATCCCAAAGGCAAAGCCCACCGTAGGGTCAGCTAAGGGTCGGTTCCCACTGGACGGTACACAACAAGAAGACCCTTAATTTATTCACACTTGCAAAGATTCCTTTTCCATTTTTACAGGATTCAAGGTAAGACAATGGACTCATCTTCATGTGTGTATTGGTCGTCCGGACATCCTCTTTTTACAATTGCTTGTTCAAGTCTTTGGCTCACTTGTTTGATGTGTTTTCTTGTTGATTTAGAATTCTTGATGCACTTTTTCTCTCCCTCTCCTTTTCAAATGGGTTTTCATTAAATTTATATACATTTTATAAAATAATTTATCAATGCCATTTATAATGTCTTAGCAAATCCTCACTCAACCTTACTTTTCATCTTGCCCTACCCATTCCTTCCTTTTTATAAAAAATTTTTTAAATTATTTATTTTATGTATACCGTCGAGTCAGATCCGACTGGTACAGGAGGAGATTGCCCCTCCTTCGCCAGCGGGACATCTGGTGGATTTGAACTGCTTACCTTCGGGACTGCAGTGCAGCTTTTTGCCACTAGGCCACCAGAATTCCCTTCCTTCATTCTTTCGAGAACTCTTTTCGCATTTACCTTGGTCAAGCTGAGTGTATTTCACCCATATTTAGTGTTGTCTTTCCTATCAGCACAAATAATAAGTGTTTACTAATGAGAAAGTGGATCTCTCCTTCCCTCCCAACCCCAGCAGACAACCAGTGAACGTGTGCGCACACGCGTACACACGCACTTTTAACTTTCTGAAAGTGGGATCATATTTTATTTCATTATACTGCATAGTGGTCAATGTGTCAAATTCTGTAGCTTTACCAAATTTTTTTCTTGTAGAGCTCTCAGATCCATAGCAAGTGACTGGAAATGCGGTGACCTCAATTAGACACTTGAATCTTTACACTGACATCTTTGCTCCTCAGTGCTCTGGAGAGGTCCCTGACAGCAGACAATTCCAGTGCAATATATCTACTGACCCACTTGACCACTGGTACCAAGGGTGTTGATTGTGGATGCAAGTGAGATGAAATAGTTGACAATTTCACTCTTTACTCCATCTAGCATGATGGACGTTAACCTGTCAGCACAGTGGTGAGGATTTTTGTCTTCCTGATATTGAGATGGAATCCATACTGAAGTCTTTGATTTTCAGTAGCAAGCACTTCAAGTCCTCTTCATTTTCAGAAAGCAAGGTTGTGTAAGCTGCATAATGCAGGTTGTTGATGGGTCGTCCTCCAACCCTGATACCACATTCTTCTTCACAGCATCCGGTTTCTCAAATTATTTGCTCAGCATACATATTGAGTTAACTGTAGAGAAGAGAGACAGCCAGGAATCACACCTTTTTTTATTTCAAACTACGCACTGTTCCTTTGCTCTGTTTGGAGAACAGGTACAGGGTTTGTGCAAACAATATTAAGTGTTCCTGGATTGGCATTCTTCTCAGTGTTAGCCATTGCCATTCACAAAAATTCCTTTGCATAGTCAATAAAAAACAAATATTAACACTCTTCTGGTACTCTCTTTCAGCCAGCAATCTGACATCAGCAATGATATTCTTTGTGCCATCACCTCTTGCCCCCCCCCAATATTCTTTTATTATTATTTTATTGATATTTCCTTTACACAGTTCTTTTCCTTCATCTGTTTAAATGCAGTGTTATTTACCCCCTTTTCTTAGTTTCCCCCCAACTGCCATCTCAGTCCTGCTTTATAACCATGGCATGATGCAGTATTTGTCCTTTTGTGACTGAGATATTTCACTCACCATGGCCTCTTCTAAATCCTGACTGAGCTTCTGGCAGTTTTCTATCAAGGTACTATTCTAGCCATTTTTGGATGATCTTCAGCAATATTTTGCTTGCATATGGTATTAATGATTTGTTCAACAATTTGATCACTTTTCTTAGGAATAGGAACAAATATAAATCTGTTAGTTAGTTTGCCAGGTAGTTAGCCATCTTTCCAAATTTCCTGGCACAGAGTGAAAACACTCAAGGCTGCATCTGCTAGCTGAAACATAATGGCATTCCACCGACACTTGAGGCTTTACTTTTTGCCAGTGCCTTCTGTAAAGTTTGAACTTCTTCCTTTACTGAGATACTGATCTATCTATGGAAACTCTGGTAAGGAGTGGCACTGCCAATGTAAAAGGAAGGCAGTTCAAATCCCACAAGAAAAACATGGGCACTCTCCTCCCTTGCTGAGCCACTGGAGGGTCAGCTATCAGTTGGCTCTGACCCCCTGGCACACAGCTCTACATTCCTCTCTCTCTCTCCCTCTCTATTTGTTGTTGTTATTGTTCAGTGCCGTCAGGTCCTAGGCAACTCATAGCGACCCTATGAATTAAAGTCCTCAACAGTTGCATGACTTTCATCCTTTCTCCACATTTGTAGGGTTTCCCGAGGCAGGCTGTTTATGGAAGTGGATGCCACTCCTGCTTCCAAGCTTGTTTTAGCTGGGGTCTATTTCCCCACATAAATATAAGCCTCTCTAATAGATGCTTCCAGTTGTGGTGCTTGAGAAGAGAGCTGAACACACCATGGACTGTCAGGAAAACAAATCGGTCTTTTGTGGAGAGGGTGAAACTAAGTCTCTCCTTGGAGGCTAGGATTTTGAAGCTCTGCCTCACTTACGTTGGTTGGGCACATGGCCAGGAGAGATCAGTCCTTCGAGAAGGACATCATGCTCAGAAGGGTGGATGGACAGCACAGGAGAGGGAGAGCCAAGATGAGATAGATTGGTATGGTAACTGGGGCAATGGGTGGGCTTGTGTGTCAGAATTAATGAGACTGGCTCAGGACAGGGAAGGATTCAGAGCTGCTGTACATAGGGTCACTATGCACCGCAGGCAACTCAACCAATAACATTCTATGGCAGGTTTGGAAGCAGGAGTGGTTTCCACTTCCTAAGAAACATGTCTCCGGAACCTCTATGAATTTTGATAAATGTCGATGGTTGTAGAAGGGCTTCAGGGTTGCTGAGTCATGCGTGACTCGAAGACAGTCAACAACATGGACATATATGTTGTTATATGCCATTGAGTCAGAACTGATCCTACACTATCCTCAACATCTCAGATATGCCCAAGTTCAGGGTCACAGTTACTATGTCAGTATATCTCATTGACGATCTTCATCTCTTTCTCTGACCCTCCACCATTCCCAGCACGATGTCTTCTCCAACGACCATGCCTGACGTAAGGACTTAGGCTTTTTTTTTGCGGTCCATGGGATATTCAGTACTCTTCTCCATCACCATAATGCGAAGACATCAGCTCTTCTCCATTCATCTTTCATATTGTTTCATTTATAAACATAGTAAACTGTTCTTTTATAATCACTGATTCTGGCATCTGAACTTTTCTTTTTGCTGAGCTCTTTCCACTGGTTGACACGCTGAGTTCCATTACCTTGTGCGCTGAGCTGGTCTCACTGTGAATTGTTCATTTGTGGAACTTCTAAGGGCTCCAGAGGAGCCTGCATGTACTTCTCGGGCACTTTAAATGATAAGCTTCAGTTTTTGTTTGGAACCAGTGAACGTTCACAACTCATATCAGCTTTTCATCCAATCATTCACATACATTTTGTTCAACAGTATTAAATACAGTTGACTAATGTAACTAGTAACAGTGTCTGATCAACCCCTTATTGTAGCTTTCCTTTCACCAAATTTCTTTTCATTGCTCTCTGTCTTCTCTTCTCATCCTGGGGACCACCCAAGAACTCTTCTGTGTGTAAACCTGCCCTTAGCATTTTCTAACAGGGGTCTCCAACCTTCAGTTTTTTAAAAGTGGTCTAGGAGATGTGCCTAAAGTGTGTTGCACTGCCAACCAAAGGCTGTGCGTTTCAGCAGCTCGAATCCAGGAGTTATGATGGTCTCCCTTATATATACAGACTCAGAAACCAGACAGAAGATTGCTAAGAGTCAGAAACCAGACAGAAGATTGCTAAGAGTCAGAATCAATCAGAAAGCAGGGAGTTGGTGTTTGAGATGTGCCTATGGCTAGAATTGTACAAAGCAGGCCAGCAGTTCTCAGGCAAGGTATTGTTTCGCTTGCTCGTGGTTTTTCTTGTTCTGCTGAAGAAAAGGCAAAAAGCTGGTCCTTCAAAACAAAGAAAGGTCTATGGGGGGAGAAAGAAGGGTAGTCTCCTCCTGTGGCTTCATGGTAAGAAGCTGCACTGCAGTCCCAAAGGCACACAGTTTGAATCCACCAGCTGCTCTGCAGAAGATTGAGCAGTCTCCTTCTGTTCTATTAAATACCTTGGAAAACCCACTGGCGGGGTCAGCGATGGGTCGGTTATGACGTGATGGTACACACCAAACTCTGGACAGCTCTGGCATTACAACAAAGGGTCACAATGACTACAAATTGACTCTGCAGCAGCGGGGTTTTCAGATGAAGCGGACGACACTATTCAGAGTGCAGCCCTGAACCAGAGTTTTATGTGGACATGTTTTTGCAGGAGAACCCACATTTTGAGAGGATGTTAGGGCCTGTCTTTACTTCTCCACATCCCAGTTAAAACTGAATCTCATGGGCACAAATTCTGATAATTGTCCTCGGAGCAGGAGCACCTTCAGTGCTCCGTTCACCTTTTGGCTTTGACCAGATGCTGCCTTTACAGTTTCCTATCATTGTGGCCACTTGCTGATGTGATGCTCTTCCTAATATACTGTTTTTAACATTTCCTGATTATTGAAGCTTTCTTATTGTGATTTGTGGCGAAGTTGACATAACAAATCATTTTCCATTCAACAATCCCTACACATTATGTTTCATATTTTAAAATTTACTTTTTTTTTTTTTACTTCTTGTTGTGTACCATCAAGTCAGATCTCACTGGCACAGGAGGAGACTGCCTGCCCCTCCTTCTCCAGCAGAGCATCTGGTGGATTCGACCTGGGCTCCGTGGGGATTGCAGGGAGCTTTAAAAATTATTTTAGATGGTATTTTCTTTCTCCCTAATAGGAGGGTCTACCACAGCATCTAGGGAGCTCCGGTGGCCTAGTGATAGGAAACTGTGCCGCAATCCCAAAGGCGCATGCTTCAAATCCACCAGCTGCTCTGTGGGAGAAGGATGGGTAGTCTCCTCCTGTGTGACCGTCTCTGAAAATCCTCTGGAGGGTCAGCGGGTCAGCTATGGTTCGGTTCTGACTCAACGATATCCAGCAGCCACCACCACAGCATCTAGCCAGCCATTTATACACCAGGTATAAAGACTATTAAAGCTTCGCATAACTTGATTTGCACAAGTTGATTTGCTAAAGTTGATTTGCAAAGATCTATAAAAACTACTGGCCTACCATTTACCAAGGAGAACATTAAGAGGGCATGAGATAACTTTAAACAAAAATAAAAATGAGTGTTTTATTCTTCGTAAACCACTCACCTTTATGCAACACCAGAACGAATGATCTAATTCAAATGGTAATTATGAAACTGTACTATCAAATCTTCCATGTAGGAAGTTACCTGGAACAAATCCCTGCATTCCTCAATTGATGGCACATCAAAGTGTCTAATTCTTTTCAGTGGTATTATTACATTCTCAAAATATATATGTATAATTTTCTCCTAATATAAAAATATTCTCCCAATATAAATATATATATATATATATATATATATATATATATATACACACACACACACACACGTTTAAATACAGTCACCTTAGTAGGAGAGGGTAAGCATCGAAAACCTGGTTTCAAAATGCAATTTTGAAACTTGAGAAAACACTGGTCACACTGGTTAGCAGAGAGAATCAAGCAGGAATTCCCAACCTGGGGGCTCCTTTCTCACATACTCACCTCGCTTCAAGTTGGGTTATTCTTTGCCTGTGGTATGCCCATGTCATGGGCTCGGCAGTCAAAACTTGAAGTTTTCCGTAACGACAAAATGCAGTGTTTTGGTCTTTCTTTAGGGTCTCAATAAAGGCATCGTATTCTTTTTTGATTGAAGTAAGAATGGATTTGTATGCAGTGACATAGTCTATTACCTGAAATATGATTTTTCTGCCTATGGTACTTAATTTTTTTTTTTCCTAAAAGATTATGGATCAAAAGCCTTATAAAATAGCATTATAAAAAATTAGATTACTTTCAAATAAAACATGACTGGAGATAGAAATGTAAAAGTATAACATCTGAATTTATGCTTGGCAAGCTAAAGTATGACTGTACATTCAAGATGGTGCTTACTGAATACATGTTTTTTTGTGGATTATTCCAACTTGTGAGCTTATATAGAGATAAACCAAACCAAACCATATTTTTGTTCTTGGCACGATCATCTCATGTAGGTTGAAACTAAACCCCAGGTTTCATTTTCCCTATTTTGGGTCTCTTAATCATAATTTACTTTTCCTTCACTCCCTCCAAATCTATTTTCTGACTTCATTCAGACTCGGAAATGCTGATTACCGTCACGTCCCTGGTTTCCCAGACTATCAGCTCTTGCTGTTCGATCAATAGCTTCATGATCATTAGCTTCAGTTCCTAAACTGCATTTCTCTTCTCAAGATGTCAAACTAACTGAACAAAACCCCATCACTATTTATCCAAGGTTTCCAACGGTGGCTAAGCACGGACCACCTTGGGAAGCTCAGCAGAAGAAATAGGAAGGACAGTTAGGGCCCGAGGTGAGGACAGCATTTTCCACTTGACATTCTTCTTTATTTTCCCAATGTTAATGTGGTGCATCTGGTCTGTGCATTGCTGTACAGAGGTAACTCGTGGTTGCTGTGATGCTGTGACAGTGATGTGCCAATCGTGGTAATGGGCACCCATGGTGGACAGTGCTGGCTGGAGCTTCCCGACTAAATCAAGCCTGGAAGCAGGAGCGGCATCCACTTCCGAAATGCCTTGCCTCCGGAAACTCTATGTATGAACAGTGCTCAGGCTGTTCGTTCATAGGGTCACTATGAGTCGTCTACGACTTGACGGCATCAAACAACAACAACAACAACAATGTGGTGCATACATTACCCATGCAAAAACAATTATAAACATTTTAAAATGACTTTAAATAAAGATAGAAGTACAAATAAGAATTTAAATATAAATAAGTAACTTACAATTTACAAATTCTGGTCAAATCAACAGAAGTTCACAAGTGATCAAACAGTTTGTAAGGAATAGATGTGATGAATTCACAATTTAGGAATATGACATCAGAGGAAACTTGGGTGGCCTAGTGTTAAAAAACTATGCTGCAATTCCAAAGGCATGCAGTTCAAATCCACCAGCTGCTCTGTGGAAGAAGGATGGCTAACCTTACCCTGTGACTTACTGTCTGTGAAAACTCCCTGGCATCAACGCTGAGTAGGTTCCAACCCAATGGCACCTAACAACAACATAACAGCAGAGATCCCAGGCAGAATTTTGCAAGACCAACCACTTATTTATTGCAAATATATTTTCTCAACAACATGAAAGGCAACTATGTTGTTGCATACCAAGAGTCAGGAAGGCTAGGAAGCAATTGCTAGCTGACCCTCCAGAGGGTTTTCAGAGGCAAACGGCAATGCATATGGACTTTGATGGAATATAGAGGAATCAAATCAACTATGTCTGTGGAAAGCGATGGCAGAGAGGAACAATGACAGGCGTCGAATGTGGAGCCAAGTTATTAGTTTACTCACGGGCTTCAAGTTGTAGTTAACAAAAGCTAAAACAAAAAACCTACCAATGTGTGTCCTTGGCCCCCGATGGAATTACCTGCTCTTTACAGCTTTAGGCCGGCTGGATCTTTACTTGATACAGTCTACACCATTCCATATTCTCTTATCGCTAGCCCACTTTCCTCTTTTATATTACTTTACAGGCCTCTGCAGGCATTCATGGGGAGACCCCTGCATTAAAACTTCCATTAAACTCAAGACAATCACAACTAGGTATAGGGTCTGGGTGAGAAGAGACACTATCCATTCCATTCATTCCACCTTGATTCTTATGTCTAAGCCTGGACTAATGTACAACATGCCAACACGAACCCAACAACATGTCAGTCACTTTCTAAAACAGGCGACCTCCACAGCTCACCCATTTCTGGAGAAGCTCACTCTTCTAAGTTTTGGTTGTTTTTGCTAAGTCCTTGGTTCTCCCACTACACCCAGAAGTCTTCTCAGGCCTCATTCTGATTTGAACATGACTCTCCAACTCTTTAAGATCTGGCTATGTCCCTGCTGTCAGCTCTTTCTCGTGTATTTAGGGTTGGGATTGCAAAGGATAGGATAAATCTTTCCCTTTTCTGATGGGCTGCCAAACCAAATCTTTTATCTTTGATTCCAAATGCAATTTGGTATTTGTCAGCTGGTTACAAGTGCCCAGATATGTAAACTGGTATTTTGATCTTCTGTCCCGCGATATCCCTCTAAGAGGGAAGAAATATCATGCAAGGCAGTCACTGATGGATTATGAGTATGTGCCCCCCTCCCAAATGAGTACCTTATCTGTCAGTGAGAAGTTAAAAGGACAATTTCTCTAAACACTGAACCATTTCTTCTTCAGATCTCTTCTCAGTCCTGAAGAAGACAATTCCTCAATCCATGCAGATCTTAAAAGTGGGGAGGGGAGGAACACTGTGGTTCCACAATCAACACTCTTGGCACCAGCAGTCAGGAAATTAAAAGACTAATTGCATTAGGGAAATCTGCTGTCAGGGACCTCTCCAGAGTGCTGAAGAGCAAGGATGTCAGTCTAGAGACTAAGGTGCTTCCGATCCTGGCCATGATCTTCACAATTACTTGCTATGCATCCAAGCTGGATAATATGCATCCAAGCTGGATAATGACCAAGAATGACAGAACAGTAATACCCCTGAGTTGTGATGCTGGAGAAGAGTACTGACCATATCATGGCCCAAGAATCCGACAGAGGGTAGCTATGAGACAGAACTAACTTGACATCAGTGGGTTGGGTTTGATTAGTTTTATTTCTTTTGGGTGCTTATAGAAGTGTCTTAATTGTAATTCCACTAACAGATATGTATCATTATTTACTGTCCACTTTTCCCGAGAGTTAGAAACACCTTTTTTATATAAAGGAGAAATAAAACAATACGTGTAATGATAAAAATGAACAAAATTCAGTGCCTATTTTGCCTGGGGCTGTCTTACTAAACACCAATACTTTGCTGAAGTCTGAAGGCTAAGTATTTGTTTGCTAAAGGTAGGGAGGAAAGGATGCTGATTTTATCTCTCTCCTGTCAGGGTACTTTCTGAGGAAATATTTTAAAAAGAGAATAAAGTAGTTCAAGCTAGAAAACTGTAACTTCATAAGAGGAGCAGACATTTCTAAAAATTTCACAAAATGTTGTCAAAAGTCACCCTATTTTTTAATTTGGTCCTTGTATTTCCAACACTGAATTCAATCTCACCCCTTGTTCACCATGCCTTTCTAGAAGAGTTCTCAATGTGATATTATGTGCTGTCAAGTTGCAACCCTATGTACAATAGCTCAGAGCCCTGCTCTATCCTGAGCTGACATCATTGTCTCTGACACACCTACGCCCATTACCCTAGTCACTGAGTCAGTCCATCTCATCCAGGGTCACTGTCCCTCCACCCTCCCCAGCATATGCTACATTAAATCTAAATTAACACTTGTCATGAATTGGGATCACAGCAGTGGGTTTTGTTGGGCTTAGTGATCTAACAGGGTATGTGAAGCTCTGACAGCTTGATGGTTAAGGAGCTGTGTTGACAACCCAAAGACAGGTGATTTGAATCCACCAGCTGCTTCACAGGACAAAGATGGGCCATCTCTTCCTGACTGATTTACAGCCTCCGAAAATCTCCAGGAGAGTCAGCTAGGAGTCTGTTCGGACTTGATGGCACATAACAACAACAAGAGAGGATATACAGGTCTAGTCACTGGGGTAAGTGATCCCATAGGGCTGAACAGAACCACCCCACAAGACTTCCAATCCTGTGACTCTTTACAAGGGCACGGAGTCGCATCTTTCTCTCACAGAATATGGAAGATCTGAACCACCAACCTTTCTGTTAGAGCACCCACACACTTTAACCACTGTGCCACCAGGTGGCCAGTCCAGCGCTGCTTTACCCCCATTCATCTCTTTTCCCCCCTCCTCTCAAACTGGATGAACTTTCCAAAACTGACAATATGGCATGATCAACCACAACAGTTGTGTTTCTGACAGGAATCTAACCTGTCAAGACAAACCTTTCCTAACCATTTGAAAACTCCATTGTCTTAAAAGCGGAATGATACCTTATCAAAAACGTTTCGGTATATGATGTAATACTCGTCAGCAGGTCCTTCCTCATCGCAGCCCACTTTTTTGGTTTCTGTACTTATATAGTTTTGTATGCTTTCCAGAAATTCCTTTTCGCTGTTCCTAATGATAGGTGGGAGAACTGCATGTTTGAAACTGATTCCTTGGGCCGACATATGTCTCGGTCTGCACACCTGCCCACCAGAGAAAAGTCAGGTCTTAAGTTGTTGCAACAAAGCCAATACTTTGATGAGCCTGAAAGAAAAACAAAGGGCGGGGAAAAGACATTAATCTAAGGATTTAACATGACTTGATACTCAAATATCAATCCGAAAACATGAATTCTCTGAAATGTCAATCTATGAATTAAAAGGTTTCTGCCATTCTACTGCTTTACGTTATGCCTCCCAGACAGACATGTCAATTATTACAAGTCAGGAAAGAGTGTTTGTATTACTAATCACAGGTCCTCTCATGCATATTGTATAATTAGGTAGTTTAATGCAACACTTTCTAAGATCTATTGGGTTTTTTTTTTAAATTTTTATTATTTTTGTGTGTGTACTGTCAAATTAGATCTGACTGGTACAGGATGAGATCGTCCCTCCTTCTCCAGCACAGCACCTGGTGGATATGAACAGCACACCTCTGAGACTGCAGTGCGGCTTCTTGCCACTAGGCCACCAGAGCGCTCCAGATCTATTGTTTTTGTTCATAAGTAGTGGCGAGTGTGTTGTCAAGTCAGAAATGACACATAGCTGACCCTCTGATAGGTTTTCAAAGTTGTAAACCGTAAAGGAGCTTTGTCTGTCTTTCTCCTTCAGAACAGCTGGTGGATTTGAACACCTTGCCTTTGGGCTGGCAGTGCAACCTCTTACCATTAAACCTCAGAGCTCCTTTCTCAGGTTTATTATCTTGTTTATCTCAGGTAGGAAACTAGTAAGTACATCTCTTAATGATCATAAATACTTCTCCACTCCAGTGCCTGCTTCCCTAGCCCAGTGCCAGTCACTCAGCACATCATCATGTTGTTGTTGTTATCAGGTGCCGTCTAGTCGATTATGATCCTACGAACAGATCTAAGCCTGGTCCTATCCTATGCCATTCTCATGATCTTTGACATAAGGGGAAGAATGGTCTAGACAGAGAAGCAAGATCAAAGGCCTGGAGGAAGAGGAGCATGTCAGAGGAACAGCAAAAAGGCCAGAAGAGACTGAGAAGGTAAGAGAATAAAGATGAGGTCAACGGCACAGCTGCCAGGTTATACAGGACGTAGGGCCTTAAAAAACTCACCAGTAGTCTTTGGAGCACCTATGGACAGATGAGGAAAAGGTACCCCCTTTCTTTGAATAGATTTGGCAACGGAAATTATGGACTAAGTGTGGGCGCTACTCTCTCTAAGGGTAGAAACAGACGGTGAGAATTATTCCACATTTATTACAAAATGTGAGAGAAAGATGAACAATCTCCTCCCACGTGATTTACTGCCTTTGAAAACCAGCGGGAGAGTCAGCTACATGATACTCAACAACACATTATGAAAGAAAGCCAAGAAGATTTGCTGAGGGTTTAGATGTGAAGTATCAAAGAGGAGTCAACAACACCATGGTTTTTGGTATTAGAAGTTGCAAGGGGAGCTCTGGTGGCCTAGTGGCAGGAAGTTGCACTGCAATCCCAGAGGTCTGTGGTTCAAATCCACCAGATGCTTTGCTGGAGAAGGAGGGACAATCTCCTCTTGTGCCAGTCAGATCCGATTTGATGGTACACGTACAAAAATAACAAAATAATAATAATAAGTTGCAAAGATAGGAACTGCCAGTTATAAAGACAGAAACAACAAACATGACAGTAAGATTAGGAAGTGGGTGGTGGGGTGACTGTTGTGAGACAGAATGAGAAGACCTGGAAAATGTAAAGAAGGCTGGGCCCTGGGAACACCCCAGTGTTTAGAAGGCAGGGAGATCAAGCTGTTAGTGTTGTTAAATCATGTCCCATCCTGTGCCGTCCTCATAATTCCTGACACACTGTGACAATCCATCTGGCCGAGGGTCTTCCTCTCCTTTGCCGACCCTCCGCCTTCCCAAGTATCATGTCCTTCTCCAAGGAATAGCTCCTCCTAGCAACATGCCTAAAGTATGTGAGGCATTCTTACCTTCAAGGAGCACTCCAGCTACATTCTTTCCAAGACATATTTGTTCTTTTGGCTGTCCATGGGATGTTCACTGCTCTTATCCAACACCACAGCGCAAAGGCATCACTTCTTCTCTCATCCTACGCATTGTCCAGCTCTCAGATGCATGGCAAGTGACTGGAAGACTATGGCCTGAATCACATGCACCTTAGTCCTCAAACTGACAATCATTACCCCTCAATAATTTGGAGAGGTCCCTCACCGCAGACTTGGGAGATCAAGAGGACAGAGCAAAAAAGCCAGAGAAAGGAAATGCAAAGAAGCAGAAAAAGAGTAGAGAGAGGAGTGTCCTGCAAGTCAGGAAGGTTTCAAAGACGGAAGAAGCAAACAACTCTATCAGATGCTAATAGATCAACCAAAGGGAGAGGCCAAATGCCACACCAAGGGACTTTAATATTAAGGTGACGGGGAGCTCAGAACGCATTTGAACAAGAATGACAACATAATTATTTTTACCTTTTAGAATATTCTAAAGGTACTGAAGAGCAATGGTGTCTCTCTGGAGCCTAAGGTACGTCTGATACAGGCTATGGTCTTTGCAATCACCTGTTATGCATCAGAGAGTTGGACAATGACCAAGGAGGATAGAAGGAGAATTGATGCCTTTGAGCTGTGGTGCTGGAGAAGAGTATTGAGAATACCATGGACTGCTAGGAAAACAAACAGATTTGTCCTGGAAAGGGTTAAACCGGGTGGCTCCTTGGAGGCAAGGATTCTGAGGCTCCATCTAACTTACTTTGGACATGCTGTGAGGAGAGACCGGCCCTTGGAGAAGGACATCATGCTTGGGAGGGTGGAGGGACAGTGCAGGAGAGGAAGGCCCTCTATGAGGTGGATTGATTCAGTGACTGGGGTAATCGGGATAGGAGTGTCAGAGACAGTGCGATTGGCACAGGACAGAGCAGAGTTTAGGGCTGTTGTACACAGGGTCGCTATGAGTCGCAAGGGACTCAACGGCACATAACAACAACAACAATAAGGATGGCAGGTGGGAAGGCGGAAAGCCTGCTGGGAGGTTAGGATACTGATACTGAGTTCTTCCAGGAAAGAATGAAAGAAAACCTGAACTTAGGCGGCGACCCAATCTGTTTCAGAGTCGAAGTGAACTCTCCAGGATTTTCCATAACTGATCTTTCTGGAAGGGGAACGAGCTCTGGTGGAGTCACAAGTAGGGAGTCGCGCTGCCAACCAGAGGGGCTCAGTTCTCAAGCGGATCGAATCCACCTGGGGCTCCAAGGGAGAAAGATGGGCAGTCCCCTCCGGTAAAGGTGAATTACAGCCTCAGAAAACCTACCCAATCCGCAGGATTCGTTATGCAGTAGGGGCAGGGGTGGAAAGAGGAGGAGAGTGAAAATGGAAGAAGGTGGGAAAAGAGAGAAGACACACGAGAAGGTCCACTTCTGAGCGGGGAAAACTCCAAACCCCCAAACTCAGCAGCTAGAGAACCCCAAAACTTTACAACTAGAAAACCACCAGGCCGGGTTCTGCCCCGCAAGGTCTGCCTTTGAACATCTGGACTTTGGTCTCGTACAAAAGGACAATCTCCCTTCAGTTAGGATGCACGGTTGAAGGACGGGGCTTAATGGTGAGAAATCGAAAAACCTGGGATTCCCCCCACCCCTGTCCCCTAGATCTGACCTTCCCTTCCTCTCTCGTTTGCTTGGAAATTTCAAAGGAAACTGCTTCTTTTAAAAGTGCAAGGTGCGTGAGGTCTCCGAGCCCTCAAAGCCCCCGATGCGGGTCACCGCCACTTCCACGCCCCACACTGTCTCCTGCTTTCCTCTTAGTTCGTAGGCGATTTCTAGCTGTTTGTACCCTCCGCCAAAGCATACTTTTCCTCCCGTCCTCCCGGCTCACCTTATTCCCTTTCCCCAAACATTGACTCCATTGACCAGAGATGGTAACCAGGGACTCCACGAGTGTGTGCAAATGCATCTTGGGACATGTAGTCCCAGTCTTAAGAACAGGTGCGAACTACAACTCCCAGAATGCATTGCCCTCTACTTCCTTTTCCTCAATGAGGTTCTCTGAGCCCCGCCCCCTTCAAGAAAACTCCTCCTACCCCCCCACCACCAACCATAGGAGAAACACATTTTAAACACATTTTAAAAGTGGTTAAAATCTGTTTCAAGATCCTGCTAAAGGTTACAGTGAGAATTGGTCCAGGATAGAGTCACGGCAGTCAGGCATTTGGTTAGACGGCCCCGGTGACCGCCGCGCTCAGGCACTCGGCGTGGCCGCCTCAGGGGCGGGGCCTGCGGCCAGGGCCGGAAAAACCCGTGAGCCTGCGCGGCGTCCTTCTTTTCCGATCAGCCGTCTGCGGTGAGTGTGTCTCCCAGGCCGTTCTCGGACCTGCGACTTTCTCCTTTCCTGGCTTATGTGGCGTTAGGGCTAAATCGGCCTCTTCGTTTCCCCCGTTTGCAGGTGGGCCCACCGGCAAGATGCAGATTTTCGTAAAAACCCTCACGGGGAAGACCATCACGCTCGAGGTACGGGCCGGGTGGCGTGGGGGCCCCGGGCGGGGAACGTGCTCCGGATCTGAGACCCGGTCCACGCCGGGGCCTGGGTTCCGAGGCGAGGAGTGGGCTCCCGCCTGCTGGTCCAGGCTCGCAGTTGGGCGCCGGGGTTGGTTCCCGGGCGCGGGGGTCCGGCGAGGCTCCGCGGACACGTGGTGGGGCTGCCGCGGCCTGGACGCTCGGACGCCGGGTGCTGGGCGGGCGGGGGCGCGGTGACCATTAGGGCTTTTTGTAACTTGCAGGTTGAACCCTCGGACACAATCGAGAATGTGAAGGCCAAGATCCAGGACAAGGAAGGCAAGTAGTGGCCAGGGGCGCGCGGGGGGTCCGGGCGCGGAGAAGGCGCCTTAGCAAAGTGGAGCGTGTGGCACTGAAGACGGGCGGGGAGCCCTGCGCCTTGTTCTTTAGGAAAGTCAGGTTTGCGGGGAAGCTTGGTCCTTGAACCGCGCAGGGTCCCGGCCTGCGTGCCCTCGGGATAAAGCTTAGTTGTAGTAAGAGCTCTGGATGGGTTTTGTGGATACTGATTGGAATTGCTTGTTCTGGGTTTGAATTCTTTTTTACTCTTCCCTCTCTCCCTCCCACCCAAATTAGGAATTCCTCCTGATCAGCAGAGACTCATCTTTGCTGGAAAACAGCTGGAAGATGGGCGGACCCTGTCTGACTACAACATCCAGAAGGTGAGTGGAGCAAGAACCCCCCTCTGGGGGTGTTGTGGGGGTTCTGATAGAAATGGGGGAAGAAAGGCGTTATTGAGGAGCTTGTGTTAACCAAAATGTGTCTAATGTCTCAACTGGTTGATTTCCCTCCTTTATTTTATTAAATTCTAGGCCACATTTCATTGGCAAATCCTTTCCTTACATAAGGTGTTAATTTCCTGCTTATTTCAGTGAGTTTAGAAACCATAATGGTTACTCATTCATCCATAGACATTTTGTTCTGAAAACATGGAGTTCTGTTGGCTGTCTTAAGATCCGTCCATCGGTATTCACATTTCTCTTGTGTAGTTGCTTTTCATCTTCCTTTTCAGTCTGTAGACCCCTTGCATCTATCTTCTTTATCAAGCAGGAACTTGTTTTAAACACACTAACATTTTTAGAAGAATTGCTAGGTTTCATATTCTGGTTTTTAATGATTACATCCCATAGTATCTTAACTGCCCTGTAGCTTCATCATCCATGTTGTCCCACATCTCCACAACTTGTCAGCAGGGTTGTGTGTTTTATGCCGCTTCCACATAGCTGATGAATGGACCAGGTTGGTGGTTCTTAATGCACCTTTTTAATCTTTAAAGACTGTTGTGTCTCTTCTCAGGAGTCCACTCTTCACCTTGTATTGAGACTTCGTGGTGGTGCCAAGAAAAGGAAGAAGAAGTCTTACACCACTCCCAAGAAGAATAAGCATAAGAGAAAGAAGGTTAAGCTGGCTGTTCTGAAATACTATAAGGTGAGCCATTTCATAGTCTTAACAGTCAGCCAAGTTCAGTGGGACTCGTTGGCTTCTAGTTTCAGTAGAAAGTTTCTGTTAGTATTTGAAAGACTTTTCCCAGTTGGGTTCACCATGGATGGGGTGTAGGGTCCACATTTTATTTCTACTTTTTGCAAATGGGATCTTTTAATATGTAAACGACCCAATGAAAGAATTTTTGTTTTACTTTTGCAAGAGGGTAGTGTACTAAGGGGGAGGGTTGGGAGGGGAGAAAAGGGCAACAGTGAATGAATGGAAATCCAAAATCTGTAAATTTTTACTGAAATTATTTTTTAAAAAATCCCTGGACTTGGCAGGTTTAGGGTGCTTCAAGGGTTAGTATTTTGAATTGCTTCAACTAAAGGCTTTGGAAGGTGTTACAGCAAATTTGTATTTTTCAGGTGGATGAGAATGGCAAAATTAGTCGCCTTCGTCGGGA